TCGTCGGCCGTGGTGTTGGGGGGGGGGGGGGGAAGGCCACATGGATGGCGCCACTGGGCACGACGGAGGGGCGCGCATCCTTGAGCTGGATGGCACAACTCTGACGTTTGAGCAATTCCGCGAGCGTTGCCTCAAACCGAACCTTCCCGCCATCATTCGCCGTGCCGTTCCCGAATCTGAGACAGGTGCGACGGATGGGTTTTGTTCCTCGCTGGAGCGTATGCGGTCGCGGCTTGCACCCAAGAGCCTGATTGGCGCGTATGGGGAGGACCATCGCGTCCCGACAGCGGAGACCATGACTGAATTGCCCTCCGATGTTGACCAAGATGAGTACATGGTTTGCCGCGCAAGGTCGTTGGGCGAGGTAGTGGAGTGTTGGCGCCAGAATAAGAGAGTGGTGTATTTGAAGGATTGGCATATGCAGCTGGACAGTGAGACGCATGCGACGACTGCCACCACGCCGCAATTTGGGGAGAAGCCAGGGTTGGGTAAGGAGCATCGTTTTTTGCACGGCGATGGCCTTTATCAGGCTCCCGCGTACCTGGGTGACGATTGGATGGATGACTTCTGCCGCTGCTCCAGAGGTGACAAGGTGCACTATCACCACTTTGGCGGCACTGAGAGCGATTATCGTTTTGCCTACATTGGACCGCCATCCAGCTGGACTCCCTTACACTTTGACGTGTTTGGGACATATTCCTGGTCACTGAATGTGTGTGGGGAAAAGCTGTGGTACTTTCCGTCGCCAGAGGGCAACCAGCGTCTCCTGGAAAACAGCCTCTATGGCTTGGTGTTGCCCGTTGACATTCGCACCACCACAGGTGCCGAGCTGTGGGCGGTGCTGCAGCGTCCAGGGGATCTTGTCTTTGTGCCAAGTGGATACCTGCATCAGGTCCATAATGTGAGTGGCCCGCGCTTTCCATTACCCCCTAAAAACGTCATGCAGACTGAAACTTCAGTGGGCTTCGAAAACCCCGAGAGGCTAAATAGTGCTGACGCTGACAGTGTTGCCTTGGTGATTTCTGTCAACCACAACTGGTGTAGTGAGTGGTGTGTGGAGCGGATGGTGGAGGCCTTTTGTCGCGACGCCGGTCGCATACAACGACTCCTGACGGAGGAGGACCGTATTCTGCTTTTTGGCGGCGACCTCCGCGCGTGGCACGACCATGTAGAACGCTTGTTGGTAGGAGGCACCAATTGGAATTTTGCCTGCATTCGTAGCTTCCTCAAGCACAGGCTTGCCTGCCTCCGCACGCAGGATGATGGAATTGGTGCCCACGAGCGTCTGCAGTGCATCCTTGAAGAATGTCTTGGCGCGGTTGATGCCCTCGAGTTACGCGTCACTCACACCTTTGGAGAGTGAGGCCTCAGTGTTGTTGTTGTTGTTTTTTTTTCGCCTGTTTGTGTATGTGTGTGCTCCTTTTTTTTCATGTAAGCCCCATTCACATCTCTTGTGGGGCATGTGGATTACGAGGAAGACCACGGGCTCGGCCGCTTTCTTTGCAGCCACAAACTGCGGGAGGTGTGTGTGCAACAAAAGTCGTTGGCTATGAAATTAAATGCTCATTTAATTTTTCATTCTCACCGGCCCTTTTTCGCCTCAGGAAGAGGGCCTTTTTTGTTTTTGTTTTTGTTTTTGCTTGTCTGTGCAGACTGTTGAGTTGGGTGGACTGTTTGCTGATGCTATTATATAAAAAGCTTTTTTTGTTTCCTTGTTTCTTTGTCTCTGTTTTTCATGGCAGTGTGAGCTAGATAGGTTGCTGTATCAATGACCACGTTTTGGGAACTGTTCCGGGAATGGGCAAGGCCCCTCCACATTCCTAATATGCTGCAGAGCTCCACCAACGGTGTGCGCGCCGCTCTTGTTCCAGTCTTTGCACGACATCTGGGCTCGACGGACAGCCAGGTGGGCTTCATCATAGGTTCCTCGGGCATCGTTAAGGTCCTGCTTGACGTCGCCTTTGGATTTGCCGCCTCTCTCCATGGAACTCGCGTCATTATGATTGCCGGCATGATGTTAAATGTTCTGGGTAGCATTGTGGCGGTGTTCGCATTTTCTCCCTTTGCGCTTGTTATTGCATCTATGCTTTGGGGGGCGGGCGTAGGCTGCTTCTTTGTGGCCCGACAGTTCTTTGTTGCGAGGGCGGTGCCGCGCTCCATTCGTGGTCGTCTTATGTCTGTGGTTGGCGGCTCTACGCGTTGGTGCGTCGTCCTGGGCCCTGCCATCGCCGGCTTGCTGATAGATATTGCAAACGTTCGGTTAGCCGCATTCTCTATTGCACCACTGAGTCTTACATGTGCCTACATCGTGGCCACGAATGAGAAGATACGCTCTGTAGATGAGGAGATTACTGAAGGTAAGGAGGACCATAATATCTCCAAGGAGTTGAGTGACATGTTAGTGGCTTTGCGCAAGTACTGGGATGTTGCCATACGCATCGGCGTCTATTCTTTTAATATCGTTTGCTTGCGGCAGGGGCGGAGTATGTTGCTGGCCCTTGCGGCAATTAACATGGGACTTTCGGCGTCCATGGTGGGTTTGGTTTTGGGAACCTCCTACATCGTGGACGCCACCTTCTTTTTCCTTGGCGGGTATCTCATGGACAAGTTTGGTGAAATATATACGACGATTCCTACCTCAGCGAATCTGGGTATTGCCTTTTTGGTGCTCGCCCACTCTAATAGTCTCACCACGTTGATGCTGAGTGCCGTCATGTTTGGGGTCGCGGAAACTACCGGGTGCGGAATTTTGATGGCACTCACCGCCGAACACTCACCACCCAGCGGTGGCGCTTCCTTCATGGGGCTGATGGGAACACTGCAGGACCTGGGGCAGGTGGTCGGGCCCATGGCTTCTGGTTTAATTATGGAGTACTTTGGCTTTGCCTGCGTGTGTTACGTCCTGGGCGCGGTTGGGGCGCTCAATGCCCTTTGGGCGTACTTCATGATCCCAGCAAAATCTTCCAGTCAACTGGAGGAGGAGGCGGCGGCGGCGGCGGCCCAAGCGAGGGACCTCCCCGCCCCTGCCGACGATGCGACAATGGTGATTCTGGAGGCAGAAGAAGGAGAGGCGGTGCCGGATGCCGAGGACTGGGGTGAAAGGCGTTTACTCGTGGATGAGGAAATACCACAAGTGCTAGACGCCACGCCCGAGGAGGAGGTGAAGAAGGTTGCGGTGCAGGAGGAGTGAAGAAGTCCCGTTTATTATGGCTGCTGGCATTGTGTTAGTGGTTCCTAGGAACGAGTGGGGCGTGGGCGGAGCAGTGTCAACCCTTTTTCCGCGTGCGCTCCACTGACGAACTCCAGTGGCGTCGCCTGAGCCTCTTTTCCCAGGCTCACTTGCCCCCATGCAGTGGGGATTGACGAGACACGCGGGACCCGTTTGCATTTTTCGTTCCCTGTGAGTTTCGTGCGTGAACGCCGATGACAGGGCCAGGTGGGTTGGAACAATGTCTGCTGCTCTGTTCAAGGGCCTTTTTTCTTTCCCAAGTGGTTTGGGGCGACAGAAAGAAGTGGAGGGGAGGGAGGAGGGCATCCACGGTACGTTGTTTTGCCGCATCTATCTACCCGCATTATCAAAGTATTGGATGTGAGCCCCTTATTTTTTTTTATCTTTCCTTTTTTTTTTTCATTCCTCATGTTTTTTTTTTTATTGTGGTACGCCACGACAGTGCACTTTGTATAATTGTAAGTTGTTGGCCCAAGCCAGGAGGCGGTTCCTTCTCCACGTCTCTGTCAGCCCGGGAGGGGGCGGGGAGTGTTTGCGCTTTGGA